GGTTGCGCCGCGGGAAGCCCACCCGCTCCGCGAATACAACATCTCGGTCCTCCAACTTCATGCCTAGCTTTACAGCTATAAGCCCGGTTACATGCAAGATGTTTTCATTTTTTTCTTCAGGTAGGCCGGAGATTTCCAGATCGTTATGCAGAGATTCTTGTTCACGCTCGTTCAATTGTCGCTTCAATTCGGTAATCGTGTTTTCGAGCTTCTCCACATTGCCGGGAGATTTTACTTCGCAGCTTGTCTCCAGTGTAGACACTTTGTCTTCCAAGGCAGTTAAACGTGCGCCGCATGAATGCAGCTCTGCTTTGAAGTCGAGAATCTCCCTCCTGCAGTCCGCAATCTCAGTTCTTGTTTTGCTCAGCTCACTGCGCAGATCTCTTATCTCCTGCATAAACTCCCGTAGCATGTGGTTGTTCGTTGTGGGTGTATTCTCACTTAGATCTGATTGAGGGGTTGACTTTTCTGACGACATATCACCACATAACGTTTTTGATGCCCTCGAGGATGACGTCGGGTCTGGTTTGGTTTTGACTTTGCAGCCTTGGCACGCCCATCCTTGAGGTGTTGTCCCCGTCGGTACAGAACAGCAAGCACGATGATAATTATTTGCGCATTTTGAACACCTCACACAGTCCACGTTGGACAAAAATTTACCACAGTACCCGCACTTAGGCATTTTCTTATTAATTGTAAGTGTAGCGGTATTAGTATCACTGTTCGTGTAAAGATGGCGTTGTGCTTAGTTCCGTTGATAATTTTATCCACAATTTTACATGTATTGTTTTGTGGCGAACAAAATACACTGAATTGATCCAATTAGAGCTCTCGGCAAAAATTAAAACTATTTTACTAATTGTTTGTACATAATATTTTGTTTTTTACTCGGAGGGTATGTCAGCAGCAGCAGTTCACAGTCCACCTAGTATCATTTGTTAATTTCTTTTTAATTTTAGCACATATTCACTGGAAAACACTTCCACACATTAATTATACGGCACAATTAACTTAGAGATGGAACTGACTATAAAACACCGATGTTAAATATTTTTAAAACTAAGATATCGAGTCGGCCTATAAACGTCACAGACCGACGCCATAACACATCCATCATTACCATTACAGCCCTTCACTAGTCCATAGGTTTTCCCCAAAAAATGCCACAAAACAGTCCTGAGCCACCTGCGTCCATCAACTTTTTGCATGTTTTACCTGTTCGTCACACCATCCAATTAGAGTCTGCCCTATACCTTGCTTACCAGTACAAAGAGGTCCTTTCTTCTGCTGGTTATTGCCACTTTAGCTTACTATCTGTTGGGTCGTATCAGTTACTCTGGTCTACACCGGATATCTTCATTTTGAAGTCAATCAAGCGAAAAAACCCCAAGGCATTTACCTTGCCATACCTTATTTGGCCAGCGGTAAACAACTACATCTCAGATCTGACTGGCAATACGCTTACGGTTGGTTTGGAAGTTGGACTTACCTTGTCGGACAGTTAGTCTTATATAATATACGTATACTAGTCAACAACTTCGAGCTTGATGCTACCAAAACTTTCTGCAGGCAAGCACATCAACATCCTGATGAACAGACTTTCTACTTTCGAGAGAGAATTTCGACGGATTCAAAGGTTTTCTCATAGTCCACGAAAGCAAGACAAAGTGGCAGATTTCTGTATGATTTGCGGAAGGGTATGTATGTAGTACTAAAGCCTTTTCAGAACCCAGTTTGTTGGGGTACCTGGAAGTCGTCAAGTCTGCGTGCAAAACGAAAGTTTTTACTCTCGAAAACAGTACGTAGACGCGGCTCAGAATGAAAATCGGTCTGTAATTCCTTAATAGAGCATTGTCGTCTTTCTTAAAGAACAAACCTACTGCGCTTCTGCTCCACTCGTAGATCGTTACTCACACTTGCGTGTGGCACCAACAGTACATGTCTATGGGCCACAGAAACCATTTACCATCAGGTGGACTGTGTGCTCGTTTGTCACCCTTATCCTATAAAAAAAAGATGTATACAACTCTTCGTAGAACCTGTAGATCTCACACATAGGCCTTGATTTTGCTTAATCACTTTTGAAAGGAGCCTTGATTTTGCTTAATTGCTTCTTCAATACGAGCTGTATTGAAGTTGCGTAAGTTTTGGACCTGTCTGTTCATTTGCATGCTGTCATGTCTGGTGAAGAATGTTGTATCATTTCCCGTTTAACAATTCGAGACTTAAAGTGAGATAGAAGAGTTTTTGGGTTCTTCTTGCAGAACTTAGATAGACAGTTTCCGCGAAATTGTCATTCATATCGTGTGCCTCTTACCATTCGGTGATCGCTACCAGTTTTCATCTTCGGGACCACTGAGACATCCTCTGAATAGTAGCCGTTAGGTCGTCATAATGGATTCAATCTAATTTTTCGCAGAACCATCAAAGCCCGACCTGGTCCGATTTCTGTGGGAGGTAAGTAGAAGAAATATTTTATTATAAAGAGTCTCTTATTCTCCATGAAGGCTAGCTGTTGATCACTTGGGTTCCGTTGCCCTATTCCGAATTTCCCTACGTTCGGCTCACCGTTCTCGCTTGTGCCTAGAGCTTAGCGTTGAATCGTCAATCTCTTCGTCCTGACATGCCGAGGTGCGTAAACCTGTATGATTTTCAACGAATACTGTTTGGTAATTCTGAGTATGAGGTCTTAATCTTTGTCGATACACTCCCAATCTTTACAACATTGTTAACGAGAGACTTGTGAACGATAAATCTACACCTTTGACAGATGGTCGAACTCCCGTTGATAGAACAAGTTGCTGGGTTCGAGGATTACTGTGTTCCACAGTTTTTTTTTTAATTTTGTTGTTATCAAAAAGATAATGAAACACGTTCCATGCGCGACCAACCCCATTCCCACAACCGGGCGATCACGACCGCCCGATGGATGAACTTCGCTTCCTTGCTACCCGCATTTCATGCTAGCGCTTTAGTGTTATGAATCAACTAATTCGAATTGATTGCAAGTAACTGAAGTTTTCTATAATTAAATTGACGTATCTTGTTGAAATATAAACCCCTTAACGCTCTAATAACTATTAACGAAATTCGAGGCCGATGTTATTTAATATTGCAAATATTGTAACCTTAAAATTATTAGTGTTATGTGTATGTGATTTATTTATATTGCTTAGAAGCGATCGTAGCGTAGCCTAATAGTTAAGGGTACGGACTGCAAAACAAATTCGTGAGTTTAAATCTGCCATTCGACTTTTACCGACTTCAAAAAAGGAGGAGGTACACAATTCGACTATATTTTTTCGTGTGTTACCTCAGAACTTTTTCTAGGTGTACCGACTTTGATGATTTTTTCTTCTTACTTATTTGAAAGCTGATGCTTCTCATGTAGTCCCATAGTTAGTTTTTGAGTTATCCTTAATAATGCGTATTTAATTGACTCCGACTACATAGATGATGTTGTCATTTTATTTATATTGAAGTGAGTTGTACAAATGTTTAAATTTTATCACTTGTTTTATGTCGTAAGCCAGTACAAGTAAGTTAAAGTCAGTAATAGTGGTTAAAGGAATTATTACTACATAGTGTAAATAGCATTAAAATTGTTTGAATTGAACACAATTTTATCAGTAGGTAGCTATTATTTCTATAATCTCACATTTTTAAATTGTAGGTGTACTCAAGTGTACTCCGCGTCCCTGAACTTATGACTCCCAAAATAAAGGAAATATTTTTAATTTCCTTTGTGCTCCACAACTGACAATAGTTTTTTTTTAAAACAATTACTCATAGTATTCTTATGAAAATAATTTTGCATAAAAACATTCGCTTATTCACTTAGGCCTGGTTTCTAGGTACATAAATACATTTCGTTTTCTATACTTACATAAATTGTTACGAGTCGTTTTACAGTGCAAAAAGTGCTAGAAATAAATACTGGTTAAACAACTTATACTTTACTGTCATCTTAAGTTTCTGAAGCAATAGTTTTTAATAAAAACTATTTTTAACCGACTTCAAAACGAAGAGGTACTCAATTCGACTGTATGTTTTTTACGTGTGTTACCTCATAACTTTTTTCTATGTGAACTGATTTCGATGATTCTTTTTTATTTGAAAACTGATGCTTCTCATGTGGTCCTATATAAAATTGATCAAGGTTTAATGATTAGTTTTTGAGTTATCCTTAATAATTTATATTGAAGTCGGTTGTACAAAATTTTTAATTTTACTACATCTTACTATGACTTCATGTATAATCAACTCTATTATATAAAATCATATTGGGAAACTAAACTTAACCTTAGGTTTATTTTTTGTAATATTAAAGCATGAGTGATCGTAATAAAGGTTTTACTACAGACCGTGGACACATGTAACCTGGACATATTTACTCTCGAAAATTGCTATTATTTTTTATTATCTTCGGATTACAATCGAGCTAATAATAATTCACTAGATGGTAAGTTTTGGCCCAACCGGCGAACGACTAGGCTCGTATAAAATAGCATAATAATGCAGCTGTTTCGTATAGTAAGTGACAATAACTGAAGACCCTTTATACTGGCAATGAAGCATTCAATCTTAGTCAACAAATGCGTGCATTTAGATTGTTAAGCGGAGATAGATAGATGGTGTCTATAAGCCGCAGCATCCACATACCATTTGCGTGTGCTCGTTCATCACAATTCTGTAAAACAGTGGTAACTGAGAGCTGAGACCATTGGACACTTGTAAACAGTGTCTAACCAAGGAAGTAGTTATATCCTGTAATTATACCAGCTTTCTTACTCTTCAAACAAAACACAACAAGGGTTGTACGGTTAAATAGCGGCAAAATAAATAAAAGGGTACAACCACCCCTACTTCCTAGACAGATAAAGAGCCTACTTACAACTCTAAAGGCTAACTGACCACTTGGCGGTCATCAGCGCAGTCGAAATAAACTGGTTGTATTTGTTAAACTACATTTTTGATCTCACGAGTATTTATTGTTGCAGGCCGAAGCGGTTCGAACATAAAAGACATAGAAAGTAAATCAGGCGCACTGATCCATTTTAAAAAGTTCAGCGACAAGGAGTACGATGTTTGCATAATTCGGGGCCGGAGCGAGTCCACGCAGCTCGCCGAGACAATGATACACGAGTTCATTAAGCAGCAGCCGGTTATTGAGGAGGACACCATGATGGTGCCGGGATGGGCTTGTGGAAGGATTATAGGTAAATATGTGATGTGAATTGGTGGTCATTTTCTTTTTTCTTTAACAAAACCTTACTCTTTGATTTTCTCCTCTATCTTGGATGCGTACTACACACAAAACTTGCATGTACACATGTATAAACATTCAGACCTGGAACTATTATTTATAGGTCATACAAATACTTGTTCCTTGCGGGATTCGAACAGAAATATTATCACGTCGTTACCATGTTGTCTCCACTGTTTTTTTATGTACATTATATGTAGATGTATAGAGCTCTGGCAGTCGACTGGCGACGGAGAATACGTTCATTTGTTTAACCCTATTCCCGCTAAATAGTTATAGATAGAGTATATCTGTGACTTCGCGCCCACCAACGTGCTTAGCCCAGCGATCTCCTCGCTGGGTAAATTTTATCAAAACTATCTGGTGATTTTCATTTGCGGTAGTTGATTCGATGAGCAAGCCGGATAGCAGCAGTTTTTTATTACATTGAATAGTTATAAACAGGATTCAGCTGCCTATCTCCTGTTTCAAGTTACCTGTGTCGTCTCCTACGACATCTACGGTGCTTAGTAGTAATATATAATCTTTACCTACGGGGACAGTGAACTTTTTACGCTGCCACTGTACAACAAAAAAACTTCTATGTACAAAAAATAAAATCGTACATATGGTGGACTTAATGCCTTAAGTCATTCTCTCCCACTCAACTATTAAGCTAAGCAGAGATAAACATAAGGGAGGTAGTGCAGCAAAAATAAACCAATAATGAGAATATGTCGATTCATATATTATGTTAAAATGCTAATGAACGTTCACAATTGCCACCAAGGCAAGCATCGCCACACCACCGTGGTAGAGTCACCCAACTGTGCTAAGGTTGCAGTGCGAATGGGTCGGCTCTATAACAGAGTACCGGCGTAAAATAGCAACTGTAGGTTACTTATTTCGTATGTATGATGATACGTTGAGTGATGAAAACCTGAAGCCCTTTACAGATAACAAAACTTCTCATCTTGGTCTTCACGGTTGATAGCGACTGCATTTTGATTCTTTTATTGCGAATAGATCAAGTTGTGTATGGGACACGTCATCCACTTATCTGGAGGTGGATTATATGCTTGTTTGTTACCTTCACGTATATAAAGAAAATGCCAAGTTCTTACGGCAAATCCTTCCTTGCACCTTGGGATGTACCTGTTCCCAACAGAGGGCTGATTACCCTGATGATAATGATGATGGATTAACATAATATATTAAAACATTTTCAGGTACAGGAGGTGAATCAATAAACGATATAAGTCACCGAAGCGGTGCTCGAGTGAAGATCGAAGGCACCACCATGGGTGACAAAAACACCCAGCGTCAGATCTCTTTCCGCGGCACAAAGGAGCAGATCAGTGTCGCTAAGGGACTGATAGAGACTTGTGTGAGTATTTCGTATCTTACACTTACAATGATTTAGTGGGAGCATTTTTTTTCTACAAAAGAATTCGTCTAGATCAGGGTTTCCCAACCTTTTTTTGACTAGGGACCACTTTGATTTTTTTGTAGTTAGCAGGGACCACAAGGCGAAAGAAAAAAACTGTTTTAATCTATCTAACGATAAATATAAACACAATTTTTAACATAGTTATATAATAAACTGAAAAGAAGCATTCATTAACAGTATTATTTGTGTATTTATTGTAAAAGCTAGTAGGTACTTACTAACGCAACGCGCGGTGTTACACTGCGCGCGTGACGAGTAAATAATAAATGTGTTATTTAAAATGATTAGGTAGGTAAAATATTGCATGCCTTAAGCGCGTAGGATGTTCTACTAGAGCCTAAAATCAAGATTTCAACGTATTGTCGCATGAAATCGTATCTAACAATCATATTGTACATACAAATGATAAAAAAATAACATAGTCAGAGAGTTAAATGATTGTTGAACTTATAAATTTTTTTTAAATCGTTTAATTGCTATTTTTACATAAAAATGTGATTTCATTCACTTATGATGTGGATTTATCAAGTCTGCATGGAGGGGTAAACACGATAGCTTTTGAAAATATCAATTTTTAACTCAATCTATTTTTTTTAATCTTTTCATCTATCATGTGGGAAGCTATGGAATGTAAATGACAGATTAATTTTGTTTTGTTTCGTTATAATTAATTTTATTCGACTTAAAAATCCCGAAATTTTCGGTGTTTTAAGCAGCCTTGTAATAATTTATTTACTAAATAGACTGCCTCACTTACTTCGGCCAGAGCCGCCGTTGTGAGTGAGTACTGTATCGGTTGTTTGCAGCGGCTCGTGTTCAAAAAGATCGCTATACAAATACAATATATTCGAAAAACCAAATTTGATACATCCTCGATTATTATTATAATCACAGAATTTTATTACAGTATTTTAAAAGCACAGAATAAATAATAGAACTACGTTCTAAAACTAAATAGAATGTATATATAAATATACTTAAATACGTCTTGGACTTTATAGAGTGACCTGAATGATGATATGATGATCATATGAGCACTGTGAGTCGTGCACTTTTGATGATCAAACTTTTTTTTAATTGAAGTTTAACATAAAATTATTGAAAAATTGGAAGTAGGTATAATATAATAAGGTTATTAGTGAAAACTTGTGTGTATTTAAACTACTTTAAAAAAATTACATATAATGATGTTATACGTAATTTTTTTAATACTCTTAGGGCAAGTACAATTGGATTTACCAATAGTATTTTTTAATCTTTCGTGGACCATATTTTAAGCTTTTACGGACCACTGGTTGGGAATCACTGGTTTAGAAGGTTATAGCCGTGGTGGTATCTCAGAAGCGCTCAGTGTAAATTTCACCCGTATTCGATGCCCGTCGACACCAATAATTTTTTTTTTAGGATATGTTGACAAACGAGAACACAGTCCACCTGATGGTAAGTGGTTACTGTGATCCATAGACATCTACATCTATCCTCAATAAAGACTCAAGATGCAGATGCGTTGTCACCCATGAGGACTAAGTTGGAATGCGTCTTTGCCAGTAAAAAGGGTCTCCGGTTCTCTACACTCACCATACGAAACACAGCAGCATTAAGCTGCTATTTTACGCTGGTTTTCTGTGAGAGCGTGGTCCTTCCCCGGTGGAGCCGACCCATTCGTGCTACAACTATGCTACTAATATAGATGCAGCATGGCTCTACCACGTAATAATTGCAATTTTAAGTGCCGATTTACCACGTGCGTGGCGGTGAAGGAAAACATCGTGAAGAATCCTGCATGTCTGAGAAATAAAATAAAATATTTCGAAGACATGTGAATGTGAAGTTCGCCAATACACATTGGGGCAGCGCGGCGGACATTTCCTTGCCCTAAAATGCTCTCAGAAATGAGAGGAGGTCTGTACCCAGCAGTGGAACGTATATAGGCTGTAACGCTGACTAATTTTAATTTGTCTGGGTAGGGATCACCCTTATACCTATTGGTGCCATTCTTGTTACAATCAGCTGGATTGCAGACTCGTTTTTTTTTAAACCTTGATACAAAATTCTGATAATTTATGTTTTAGGTGGCACAGGAGAAATGCCGTCGCGAGATAGAGCAATCAAAGCGGACCCCCCGGGTTACTATCCCGCCCCCCGAAACGCAACAACCGCAGGAGACCCCAGGTAGACCGGTCCTCACACATGCCAAGTATAAAAGGCCTGGTAAGACTAACTGCATGCACGTTTGTGTCTTTGTCTTTGCAAGTTGTCTATGGTTGAAAGTTAAACGCGGATTCAAGAGCAAAAATAGATATATGACTTAAACGACATGATTTATGCGTAATACTCGAGTATAATTACTACCTCATTGGGTAATAGAAGTTCAGAAACAGAAACATACACTTTTTATTCAATATAGGTTATAAATAATTCTTATTGAAAGTCACTCCTTTGTTTAATTACCACTGGTTCAGAATAATCTGTCCTGGGAAGAACCAGCAAGAAACCCAGCGTGGTTGTAAGATGTAATTTTTTTTAAATAACAGCTTACAATCTTGTATGTACAATAAACAACACAAAACAAATTAGGAATAGCTTGGTAGTGATTACCTCATTCCCAGGGGTTACCATCATAGATAAATTCCTTAATATTATAATAACCCTTTTTGTTCAACTATACTAGTCAAGTGTTATTTGAAAAAAGTGATGTACACTCTGTAAACACCGGGAACAAACATGATCTAGTGATACCAATTTCTCGACTCCCCAGACTCAATAATTCATTCATGGGGCATTGTATACTATTAACAGTGGTCGAGCCACGCTGCAGCTTCTGCTGTAGCATGGATGGGCTGGTTACCCTCTTCTTCCTGCGCGTGGGTGCTCAGGCTGCCACGCGTATTCTGTGGGGAGGGGGGGGGGGCAAAATCTGCTCTATACTAACACTGCACGGGGCAAACAGCAATAAAACCATGGTGACCCCTGCCACGCTATACTTCTGCAACATCAGGGGACTTAATCGTCGGCGACCGAGTCCTTTCCGATCGGCGCGATTCACTGGCGCTGCGAATAGATGTTGCATCTCTTTGCGTATTTTATCGCATCTATCACGAAAAGTGCTCTGAGGAATTGTTCGGACTAATCCCAGCCGCTCAATTTCACCATCGCAGATCGCGACAAAATTCGCGATACCATCCATATCATCAAGATGATTGACGGTCCACCACTGTGCGATTTAGAAGAAGTTTTCTTCCTCGCACAACTTCCTTGTGGAATCGATTACCACCAGCGATTTTTCTGGACCGATACGACTTAGGAACCTGCAAGTAAAGAGCCTACTCCTTTTTAAAGGCCGATGATGAAAGGCTTTTTTAAAAAAAGGCCGGCAACGCATCTGCAATTCCTCTGGTGTTGCAGTTGTTCATGAACGGCGGTAGTCACTAAAAATCAGGCGAGCCACATGCTCGTTTGCCCCCTCTCCTATAAAAATATTATAATGTATTAGAACAAAGTCTCAGAAAATATACAAGGTCTCTCTATTATCAAGTTTAAATATTTTATTAAACAAAAACTGTATAATAAAGGTTATTATATTACAAATGAATGTATATACAATGAATACATGGTTGATAATAACCTCTGGGAATGGGGTTGTCACTTCCAAATTGTTTCTTAAATAAGTTCTGTAATTAGTTTGTACAACTTGTATTTTATCGTAAAATTTTACTTTTGAAAAAAAAAAAGATCCAGCTAGATTTCTTGCTGGTTCTTCCCAGGACAGAGGTTTTTTCTGAACCAGTTGTAAAAGTAAAATGATATTTCCACATTCCACATTCATTTCTTCTGCGGCAGCAACGCGCTGGGTACCAGCTAGTATTGAATAAAAAATATTCTATTCTATTGTAATTTGCAGAGATTGGTGTATTCAATTAGCAAAACCACTTTGGTTAACAATCATAATAGGCAATTGTATGAGATCTTGATTATACAATGCGGCATATATTTATTGTATTACATATTGTCTACGGCTTTGGGGTGGCCAAACCTTAACCTATTATAGAACATTATGGTGCATTCGTATTTTTGATAAAGTAAGTCCTTTTTTTAGTAAACATACAAGGCCATTCCGCAGTAGTACTAAAATCTAGTACTACAGTAACACAGTATTTTTTTACAGACATTATTTTTTATGCGGTGTTGGAAAATATACTCGAATATCACGCAATTCTGCAATACTGGCTTGTAATATTATGCAGCTCTGCGTATTTTCAATAAACACTACGTTTGCACTAAGTTTCTTAAAGGTTTTACTGATTCTAAGGTAATGCTTACATAATTCAGAAAGGGTGAAACGTACGAGATAGATACTTATTTCAATATGTTTTTACCTTTCTTCTAGAGAAACGGAAATATGCAATTGAAATGATTTAGCATAGTTTCGATGTGTTATTAAAAATAGATAAGTACTTAATTTTTTTTAAAATATACCTTATCAAATTAATGATTATGAAAGATATTTATAACAAACACGATTAAAAAAAATGTTCGCTCACTGACACACATAGTAATTAGTTGATGCAGGAAAGTCAAGAAAGGAAATATGGCAACACTTTTGATGAGTGTTTACATCAATTTCAAAAGTATTTAAAGGTATTATACAATTTTTAAAGAGGAAAGGGAAAAGTTTGTTTTTTGTTTTGTTTTTGAATATTTGTTTGTGTGACTGGCATGCCTTTTTATTTATCCTTTGCACTGTTTAAAAAATACACAAAGCGCCAATTTCAGTAATTATGTTAAATTTGGTACACTGAAAGAATTGATTGGATAATAACTACAAAGCCAAATTATTTATTTTAAAAATTAGAATGAGATACACACCACTGTCGGGCTTCCGTGTCTTCTCAGAATGCAGAAGTCTGCCACATCGCTTTAGTATCACATGTTGTTTATGAAATTAATTTACATATGAAATATTTTAAATAAAATCATATTAGCTCAGGCTGTAGTGCAAAATTTTACAGTACAAGAGTAATGTGGGTGCAATTTCCCCGACATTCTTACTGAAATATCTCAATTTCAAGCACTTGTGCACATGCATGACACTGGAAGAAAACATTGTGGAGAAACCTGCATGTCTGATAATTTATTTAAGGCAAACTACACACATTCGAACTGACATCTGGTACTTTCGGCTCAAGGTTAACTAATACTTTTTTAATCTTTATCATATTATTCATAATGTTTTAGAAAGCAGGTGTATTGGAAAATATTGATTTTGATACTTTTATAAATTGGGCTAGAACTTCATTCCGGTTTACCAATAATTTTCAACAAAAAAAAATCAGTAAAACAAAAATTTCCATCTTGAATAATTTTGCATATACCAAAGAAAATTTTATAGTAAGCCACAAAGTGCCCCTTTGCATATGCTGTACATTTATCAATAGCTGTCTCTTTAGTTTAGTGGTTGTAAGCGCGACTGCAGGTGTGGTATGTGGTATCGGGTTCGAATTTGGGTCGGGCCAAAATCAGTTGGGTTTTTCTGTCAAATTATTCTCAATAGCAGACCAGAGTTGGGAAGTTGGCGATGTTTCACATCCATGCCCGGGAAAGCATGAGAAGCATTTGGTCCTGCGCCTGATCTCTGTCCGTTTGTATCGGATGCTGTTCCATCGCATTATGAAATTGATTAAATAGAGGGTACACCTGTGCTTTTGTACACTCGTACACTATAATCCGGCCCTGCACAGATGGCGAGTCTCCGTTGAGACTGGCTGCCGTGACTGAAATTCGGTCTGGAGAGGGTATTACTATTATTATATCATTTATCATGTTTCTATTTTGATATAAATGTATTCATTTAATTTTGTTTTGTTTACTTGTTCACAGTTTGTTTTCCCTTATACATGGTGTGCAAATTTTTGTTTTGAAGAAATAGGCTATGGTAGTTTGTGTTTTGTGTCCGTCCTGATTTAACGCTATATATGGGTGGGGTGGTAGATTTTTTGTGTATAAAACAATTTAAAAATCCTATTAAAATCATGTATTATATTGAGATGTTGCAAGTTGAAAACCTTATTAAAAAATTGGACCAATTCTACATTGTTTATGGTTGTAGTATAAAAGCTTATTTAGTATATTTTCGTTTTTTGTACAGAGACCACCACTTCGTCGATAGAGGTGTACGTATCGGCCGTGTCCTCACCGTCTCGCTTCTGGGTACAGTTCGTTGGGCCTCAAGTCGCCCAGCTCGATGATTTAGTTGCCCATATGACTGAATACTACGGGAATAAAGAAAACAGAAATGCGCATGCGGTAAGTAAAAGAATGTAAAATTCGGTAAAATGCAAATTATACGTGCGTTTGGTTTTCTATGCCATCAGTTCCCCAATTCTAAAAACTTTTCTTCGACAGTTTTATGAAAATAAATTATCAAATAATTTATATTTAATAGTTTTTATTTATTGAAAGAGATGGCCACTAAGGCCATATTAGGTGGTACATTCAAATCAAACATTAAAAAACATTCAAAGGTTTTGCCACGGGGATATTTTCAGTTACATCATTTGTCACTACTGTTTAGATACGACAAGAACTCTTCATCTTCTTCATCCACCTAGAAGATGGAAAAAAGAAGTGCATACAATAAGAATAGCACTGTCAAGCTGGAAATTTCCATTCGTAATTCACATTAACTTCAAGTGCGTTGTGTAGGATGTGCAAAAGACAAAATTCAAATATATTTAGTTTGATGTAACTGCACTTTGTTGTATTTACCTTAAGTTCGACGAAGACGAACGACGATGTTGCCGTTTTTAGGAATTGCTTAAATTAGAATAATGTAAATGATGTTTAAAATGTTTTAAAATTTGCTTTTTTTAAGTTTTGCCTCACAAAATCATTGCAAAATATCTTCTACTATATTATTATTCTATTGTTTGAAGTCGGCTTTAACTTTTTATTTATAAGTATTTATTTTTTGTAAATCAAGATCAAAATCTAACTGTCCTTTTGTGAGTCACTTGGAAAATAAGACGTCATTCAACATTTTCTAGCAGCGTTTTCCAAAAGAGAAAAATAGGAAAGAAAGATTGAGGCGTCGATATGTATTAAATAAATTGGATGTAGGTATAATTATATATTGGCGATTACTGCTACTCCATTAGACGTCGACATGATGTGTTAAATTTTAATTTTAGATATTTCTCTATTACTATGCAATTATAAAATCGAACCTGGATAAACGAGACGCTTATGGAGGTTTCTCACTAACCTGAGTTTCAAGTTTAAGTACAGGAGTAGCCTTTCTCACTTATAGAAGTTTATAAAAAATACAGCAAATGTGCGGTGATAAACATGTATGTAATTATGTATGTTTAGCACGTGGTAGATCCATGCTGCAGCTATATTAATAGTATACCTAGTCAGGTCATAAATTCTGTCACATGTTTAATATAAAATAATTGAAACAAGTTTATTCATTATGTAACCATTTATATACCAAAATGAACTTAACAAAACATAGATTCTTATGACACTAAAGTTTATTCAAAATGACCTCCGTGATTTTGAATACAGGCCTTCAATCTGCGCGGCCAGTCGTCTATCGCAGCACGAACGAGGTCCATGTCAATATCGGCGGCTGCCTTAATCAAGGATGTCTTGAGTGACTCCAAATTGGGATGAGGCTTTGAGCACGCCTTTTCCTCCAAGTGTTGCCATATCTTGTAATCTAACGGATTCAAATCTGGACTGGAGAAGGGCCAGTCTTCGTGACGGATGAAGTCGATTTCACGCGCCGCCAGCCAGTCTTGTGTGCTCTTCGCTCTATGAGCTGGCGCCGAATCTTGTTGGAATACCCAGTGCCTGTTATTGAACATGGTATGAGAAACAGGTTCCACAAGGTTCGTCAGGACTGTATTTTGATACACAACTGCATTCGTTTTTACACCTTTCTCACAAAAATGTACCTCTGTTAAGCCCCAATAAGAAACTCCCAACCATACCATGAGCGAGGATGGAAAATGACCTCGTTGGACACGCGGAATACGGTTGCTCGCTTCTTCACTACTGTGTACACCTTATCATTTTGTTTGTTGTAGCTCTCTTCTACGGTAACAATTTTTTCTTCCGAAAAAAGAATTTCCCTATATTTTTTTCCCGCGCACTGCTTCAACAAAGCGCGGCATCTCTCCAGTCTCAGGTCCATTAGACGAGCATTTAAACGATGTCCTGTTTTTCTTTGATATGCCCGAAGCCCTAAGTCTTCATTTAATACCCTTTTCAATGTGGTTCTGCTTAACCCCATCTGAAGGGCCAACAGTTTCTGCTTACGTTTGGGATTTCTTTGAATTCGCGCCTTCACAGCTTTTATCACTGCTGGAGTCCTAACAGACCGAGGGCGACCACTTCTTGACCTGTCGTCTACACTAGAGTCTTCATTGTATCGTTTGATGGTACGATAAACGAATCTTTTGGTTATATTCAACTTTTTCAGTATGTCAAAAATTTGAATTGGCACACGGTCTTTAAGCGTCCACTCCATATTTAAAAATGAGTAAAATTCAAAGAGAATATAATCACTACGTTTAGTAAAATTCTAAAAAGTATACAGGTTTATTTTCATGAACAATTCGAAATTCGAATTCAATAAACTTTTTTGTGGCCAGCATTCTAAAAGAAAAGTTTTTACTGTGTGATAATACTTATGACCTGACTAGGTAGTTGTAGCACGAATAGGTCGGCTCGACCGGGGAAAGACAACGCTCTCACAGAATACCAGCGTAAAATAGCAGCCTAACGCTGCTGTGTTTTGTATGGCGAGTGTAGAGTAGACATGGAACGATTAGTGGATTCGCCGAGTACTCGGTCACCGGGTACTCAGCCTAGATTGGGCCGAGTACTCTGCCGAATAGGCTTTAAAAAAACGTGGTAGCGGGCGGCGTGCGGTTATTTCCCTTACAAACTAGACCCAAATAGGGCCGAAAAGCTAGTGTTTTTACATCACAATCTTCCTCTCTTAAATTTTAAATATTAGTAATAATAATTTCTATTATAGATTCTTATGTACGTTCTAAATATTTCTGCTGCTTCTCATGTTCCTTATGTTTTAATGTGTCTAATATAATAATAATGATAAAAACTGGCTTTTTGTCTTTGTTTTTCTCTAGCATATAATTAAGGCCGAGTATTCGGTACTCGGCCTTTAATACTCGGTGCTCGGCCGAACCCTAAAAAAGGCCGAATCCGCCGAGTACCGAATCCAAACCGAGTACTCGTCCCATGTCTAGTGTAGAGAACCGGAGATCCTTTTTACTGGAAAAAAAAGGCATTCTATCTTAGTCCCCACGACTGACAACGCATCTGCATTTTAATTCGCAAACGAAGATAGATGTAGATGTCTATGGGCCACAGCAACCACTTACCATCAGGTGGACTGTGTGCTCGTTTGTCACCCTTATTCTATAAAAAAATGTATGTATTATAGCACTATTATTCATTAGAATTTGACAAAAATCCTTACAAAAAGAAAACAAAAATCTTACACTAATATTTACTTATAGGAATCCGTTAATTTCCTTTTGCGCGATTTGCCTCACTCAAACTCATTCACAAGCTTATAACTTAAAGATAACACTTTGATTTGGTTTTAACATTATGAGTACGTGCCGAACCTTTCTTCGCAATTGATACTTATCAACTGTAGTAAGTTCGACAAATAAGTCGGTATACACGCTCCTCGCATTGCCATTCGAATAAAATACTATCCAAAGACAATGTTAGTTCCACGAAATTTAAGAATCTATACAAATAAATAAAACTGAAGTGTCTGTTGGTAATGTCAAAGTAACAGTTTTTTATTAAATGCATATGAAAGTATAAACAGTACTTATAACAAAAAATCAATTTTAAAATTTTTGTCTGTCTGTTTGCTCCGGCTAATCTCCGAAACGGCTGGACCAATTTTTACGGGATTTTCACTGACAGATAGTTTATGTTATAAGGAGTAACTAAGGCTACTTTTATTTTAGAAAAAATTCAATCGTAATAAACTGCTTATGCCATCTTCTCTTTGTATTCGTTCGTGATCGTAAGTAAGTCATAAATACGTTAAATACGCTCAAGTGACACTTTAGTGGTACGAGCAAGTAGTAGTCTATTATAGAGGTCCACGAGTAAAACTCAGACTTCACTTAAACAGTGGTAGAGCCACGTGGCCGCTTTTGTTGTCGCACGGATGGGCTGGCTCGAACCGGGGTGGTACCTCGACCTCACAGAATACCAGCGTGAAGTAGAGGTAGACCTCTGCGTTTCGCTTGGTAAGTGCAGGTGGCCGGAGGCCCTTTTTACTGGAAATGAGGCATTCCATCTTAGTTCTCACGGGTGACAACGCATCTGCATTTTGATTTGTAATAGAGGATAGATGTAGATGTCTTTGGGCCGCAGCAACCCTTACCATCAGGTGAACTGTGTGCTCGTTTGTCACCCTTATCCTATAAAAAAAAACAACTTTCTCTTATAGAGGTTGTTGTTTCTCACTAATAGAGGTTTTAAAGGCTTAAAATAACGGGACCCGGCAACAACTCTCACAGAGTTTTTTCGCTTACCCAGTTCTCTCCCAGATTGACAGTATATGAAAACGAGATCATGCCTCCCTATATAATGATTCCTTACCTCCGTCTATGTTTTTGCTAGTGTTTATATCGATAGCTTGAAATATTTACGAATGTGTGCATGTGTATGGTGCAGCTGAAGCAGGTGAGCGTGGGGCAGGTGGTGGCGGCGGTGTTCCGGCACGACGGCCGCTGGTACCGCGCGCGCGTGCACGACATACGCCCCAACGAGTTCGACGCCACGCAGCAGGTCAGCTATCCGCATTTTATTTTATCAGTCTGCTGTTGTGAATAAGGATTCAATGTTATTCCGGTGTCCGGTGTCCGGTTCCGATGTGAAAAGGCGTATGGCCTTTTCAAGGAATGCCTCAATGTACGGTCCTGAGCCACATGCATCCAAAGACTTTCTATATATCTTGTCATCAAGTTGTCTAAATGTAAAAACTCAGTTGACCTTTGAATAACTACCGAATAAAGTCTTAGTTAGAGTTACTATTATATAAAAGCTTTTAATAAAAATTACTTCGCTTTAAAATAAAATGATGTCTCTTACCTAGTATGAAGAGTACCTCCTCGCCTCTACAGTTCTCTGTACAGGCGTAACACGTGTCGTATTGTCGTCAGTGGTGTGTCTTGCCTAGTGTAGTGGTGTTGGGAGTAGCGGTGCTGGAATTAGTGGTGACGGGAATAGTGCACGCAATTGAGGGAGGGCGGGAGGTACTCTTCATACTAGGTAAGACATCATTTTATTTTAAAGCGCGGATGTTTGCGAAGTAATTTTTTTTAAAGCTTTTATATAATAGATTTCCGCAAAGTAACGCCGGATTCTATTAATTATAGTTACTATTATTATTATCTCTATGAAAATCAACTGCTGTCCGTTAATCTCGCAAAAACTCGAAAATGGCTGCACTGATTTTAATGAAATTTTTTGTGTGTGCTTGAGTGGGTCCTTGGATGATCTAAACAATTCTCAATTAGACTCGGTATGTGGTGCTGTTGTCGAGATCCAGAAATCACCCGTGCGAAGCCGGGGCGGATCGCTAGTATTATATAGAAAACAGCTCAGTTTCTCATAGTCTGTTTTACTTAGTAGTACAGACCAGTGCAGTATGATGTGTGTCCAGTGGCTCATTGAATTGACAGTAGGACAATTCGAGATCACTATTTGATGTTATTTTTAATGGAGACAAATACTTTCTCATTCAGGATATAAACTAATTTATGTCATTTGAGTAATTTAAAAATGTTGAATTGTGTTGTTTACAGGTGGCGGACGTTTTCTTCTTAGACTACGGCGACAGCGAGTACGTCGCAACACACGAGGTGTGCGAGTTGCGCGCAGATCTGCTGCGGCTTCGATTCCAGGTCTGTTACATTTTTAATTTTTTTAAATAAAACTTCTCTAGGCGCGACTTGTAACTCGGATCTTTTTTGGGGCGGAAGTAACGTTCAATAAAATCTATAGTCTGTTTGCCAGTTTCCGCATTTATAAAGGCATATCTACTAGCGTATTTATCGATATGAGCGTATTACGTATGTTTGCTATAACCGCATATATACCAATTCTCAAACATTATACTTAAACTTACTTCTATAAAAATTTTATATCGTTTATTACTAATGATTATTATTATTTTATTGGTGAATATGTAATTGATAAGTAAATATTATTAATAAGTCAATATCAATATTAATAAATAAATCGCAACAGTAAAAATGTTTATTAATTTTAAGAAGTTTTCATAAAGCTTCAAGGTTCGTTGTATTCAACTCACTTTTACACATTATGTTCCTGACATGCTCATTAAAAGAATATGAAAAATAAGAACTGAAATATAAATATATAATATATTTAAGTTTCATATATTTGTATATCATCAAAATATATTTGAGTTCTATCATAATCGTGGATTTAACAAAGCAATTGAAATTCATTTATGGTGTAAGATAGCCCCATAAGACATGCAGGAAGACGATAAATTCATTAGGACTGTGCTTTGTGGCATTTTTAGTGGGAGGCCTATGTTATGCAGTGGACTTTTTTATCGAATAAAGGTAACAAAGGAGCATACAGTTCACCTAAGTGGATGCTGTGGCCCATAAACATCTACATCTATCCTCGATTAAAAATCAAATTGGACAGTCCTGAATTCTGAGATGGAATGCCTCGTTTGTAGTAAAAAATGGTCTCTGGTTCTTAGAACCCATTATATGAAACACAGCAATATTATTTTACGCTGGTATTCTGTGAGAGCGTGGTCCTTCCGCGGTCGAGCCGATTCATTCGAGCTGGAAACATAAATACCACCTTAATGTAACCATAATGTAGCTGCAGCGTGTCTTTACCATGTATATGAAGACTTGTGAAGGGATGCACTGATGATAATAATGAAAAAAAAAAGATAAAATACGTAAGATTTGTTATATTCAAAACGTGTTTATGTAGGCTATGGAGTGTTTCCTGGCTGGAGTGAAGCCGGCGGACGGAAGCAATCGTTGGCCTTCCCAAGCCATCGAACGCTTTGAAGAATTAACACAGGTAAGACATTGTAAGAATAAAAATAATCGCCAAGATAATCGCCAATGAACCGAAATGACAATTGCAGCTAATCCTTCTAAGTTCGTAAAAGCATAAGTTCTAAGTTGACTGTTGTAGACTAACGACAATATGTTTACTTTTAGGTGGCCCGATGGAAACCTCTCCTTTCGAAAACGTGTACATATAAGAAGTCAATTTCAGTGATTGGAGAGAAAGAGAAGGAGATACCTGGAATCAAACTGTATGATGTCACTGACGGTAAGTTTTTTAACCTTTTAGCAAGTTTAGAAATTAGTTGACGAGGTTAAAGCTGTCAGGAATTTCTGTTGATTGAAGAAAAAAATATAAAAGTTGTATACAACCCCTAAAAACAGATGGTGTGCTGTCACTAAGGATTTTTTAATTTGCTAGATATTTAATTAAAATAATTTGATGCATAAGTAATTTTTATTCCGCGAAAGACAACAATGACTTTTAGACGCGAATTACTTATTTTTAACATGGTAGAGCCATGCTGCAGCTATATTAGTAGTATAGTTGTAGCACGAATGGATCGGCTCGACCGGGGAAGGAACGCGCTCTCACAGAATACCAGCGTTAAATAGCAGCTTAACGGTGCTGTGTTTCGTATGGTGAGTGTAGAGAACCGAAGACCTTTTTTACTGGAAAAGAGGCATTCCATCCTAGTCCTCACAGGTGACAACGTATTTGCATTTTGATTCGCAAACGAGGATAGATGTAGATGTCTATAGGCCACAGCAACCATTTACCATCAGGTGGACTGTGTGCATTCGGTTGAAATTACATTGGCTTGTAGGTAGGCTTGCCAACCGTCCGGGACGTCCCGCTTCTGGGTAAATTTAGGACCGTCCCGCTTTAACCCCTTGCGGGACGCCTTTTGCCCCGGAAATCGGTGATTATATTATATTAGTATCTATCTCGTACCAACTACATCTTAGCCGTAGCTTCGATACCACTTTCGAATGCAGCAGCAGAGAGAGTGTTTTCTCTGTGTGAAAATGCATGGAAAGATAGCAAAAATAAGCTGTTTGTTGAACACGTCAAGGCTGAACTACAAATTGACATTAATTTTGATCAAAAATGCAGTGAATTTTATAACCAATGTGTTTGTTTGTTTAACCAATTTGTATGTGGTGTGTTGTGTCCCGCGTAATATACCCAAGTCCCGAATGTCGAGCTGGGTAGTCCCGGAAATGCCTTTTTTGGAGTTGGCAAGCCTACTTGTAGGTAATCATACATACAACAAAATGCAGCTTAAGCAAACGTCGAACGTCATAATGAAGTCAACCACAATTTTCATATAAATTACATAATCGTTGCAGTGCGTTTATCTTATTATTTCGTATATAATATCATAAATATTTTGAATGCACAGACACAGGTATTTCTAGTAAAGAATATCAACCGGAATAATAAATATGTAAGCCCCGACAGATATAATGGTCGTTGTTGCGGCCACACCGGAACCGGTTTGTATAGGCGAGGACGCCCCCCCCCCCCCCACCCTCGTCACATCGTAGACATCTACTATAGCATTCTGACTGTATATTAAATTTGTAGTCAGAAGTTTTTTTATTATAACGTATTAGTAGAAAAAAAAGCGCGGGAAGTTTTGAAGTAGGCGGGCGTCCTTTTTTTGGCTAAACTTTTGAAAATTAAATTAATTTGATATCACAGGATCAATTAAGTTGTAAAGTATATATATTAGTAGTTATTGTTGATTATTTATAGTTTTAGTTTGTTTTCTTCACCTGGTAAGTCATTTCATTGTATTATATGTAAATAGGATTTTTCTCTTGGCGTCCATGTTGGAGCCCGAAGACCCTGGATGGACATCCCTCCAGGTGTCTCATGTAGTCACAATCGATGCGTCGGGAATGGAAACGGAAGGTTCAATTATAGAAACAGACTGTTCGGAAAACACGAAATCGGTTAAAAGAAAGAGAATATCAGCTAGAAACCAAAAGAAGAGAAGGAATCACAGACATACGGGTCTATCAGTTTGCCAACTTTCCCCTAACGATTTAAAGGATAATGTTATTACTAAAGTACTTGAGTCTGATGATAAAAACACTGAAATCCACCATAATGAGGCCGCTGACTCTAACAATATTACAAGTAACCCTCGCGCTGCTAGGTCGCTTTACCAGGCGTCAGATTCTGCGCCTTATGTTGTCCATGTTCAAAAAATCTTACAACCAAATCAAACCGGATCTATTCACCCAGTACAATTTGGATTTTTCCTTAAAAAAAGTTTAATAAAAAGCATTGTAGAGGGAAGCATCAAAAAAATTGGAAGGAACAGATTGTCTTTACAATTTGAAACATTTCAGGATGCTAACACATTTCTAAAATCACAAATCTCTTGATGTTAATAAATACAAAGCATTTATTCCGGCCTTCACTATCACCCGCATTGGAATAGTGAGAGGTGTTCCATGTGACTGGGACGGGAAAGATATAATGGAAAATATTGACCTTCCGCAGAACTGTGGAAGTATTTTGAAAGTTCGGAGATTAAACAGAAAGGTATATGGCGGCGAGATGCCCAAGTTCACTCCAACTGAGACCGTAGTTTTAACATTTGATGGGAAGGTGCTACCTCCCAGGGTCTTTATATGTTTCAACTCCCTATCTGTAGAGCTTTATATTTACCCCACGCTGCAATGCTTTAATTGCTGCTGTTTTGGTCACACCAAAATGTAATGCAAAGGCTCTCCAAGGTGTTACAAATGTGGTGACAACCATTCAGGTATAAGCTGCGAGACTGAAAGAGATGATGCTGTGTGTATCTTATGTTCTGGTTCCCATTTCGCAACAGACAAAAAGTGTCTGGAGTACGCTAGGCAAAAAGCTATAAAAGAAACAATGGCTAGAAATTCTATATCTTATTCAGAAGCCAGTAAAGTCCATCCACCAGTTTCGAAATCTTATGCTGACGTTGTTGCTTCTGCTTCATTGGCCCCTTCTGGTCGAACTATTACTTATTCCAGCCCCTATAATTCAACAAGCCCTTCTAAGAGTCACACACAGTCATATAGGAAAACAGTATTCTCGAAACCCAAAGCTCGTCCCAGAAATGCTAGTAAGGGATATGATCAAAAAGCGCATGCAGAGCTTATCCAAGACCATCCACGAAACCAGTCTCTGGTGATTCAATGGAATTGCCGGAGTATTAATAGCAAAAAAAGTGACCTAATTTTCTTATTGAATAGTTGCAAAACATTTGCAGTCTCTCTTCAAGAGACTTGGCTTCGTCCCGGATTCAACTTTAGAATTCCAGGACATATATGTCTTAGAGAAGACAGAACAGATGGGTATGGTGGAGTTGCACTAATTCTTAAGGGCGGTGTGCCCTTTGTCCATATACCCATCCCTAATCACAGTAATACATTTTTAATTATTGCTGTTAGTGTAAATAATATTTGTTTTGTAAATATGTATATATCTCACCCTTCCACTGAAGTCTTTGACGATATTCGTAGCATTCTATCGTCTCTCCCACGCCCTATTTTGGTCATGGGAGACTTCAATGCACAACATTCTATGTGGGGAAGTTCTAAGTCTGATCATTATGGGGCTAGAATCTTAGACATCTTAGATGATAATAATTTATGCCTTCTAAACTCTGGTTGTCCTACTAGAAGGACTCAGCCCCATGAGGGTATTAGTGCACCAGACCTTACCCTGTGTAGTCCCTCCCTAGCTCCTACATTAAACTGGTGACCTCTATCATCTTCATATGAAAGCGATCACTTTCCGCTAATTATATCATTTCCTCAAAAAATTGGTGAAAAGATGTCAAAGGCTCTTCCCCGGCTAAAATATAGACTTAAGGATGCCAACTGGTCATTATTTAGAGATAAAGTTCAACAAAATTTATCAACTATACCTCCACTAAATGACAACAATAATCTTCTTTGTGCTGAAGCTTTTACACGGGCCCTACTACGGGCTGCTGAGGAAGTTTTTTCTATAAAAAATAATAGTGGCAATGGGTATATTCCATCACCTACTTGGTGGGACAGTGAGTGTTCTGCTGCGATAGCTGAGAGAAAGATAGCTGAAAAAAATTACAGAAAAAATTCTACAACACAAAATTTTAATATTCTTTGTAATCTTATAACTAAAACACGTAAATTATTAAAACAAAAAAGATTCAATGGCTGGAAATCTTTTTGTGCCTCAATTTCACCAGACATTTCTCCGTCTGAAGTTTGGCAAAATATTCGTAGATTCAGAGCCGCTTTTAAACCTCCAAGGTCTCCTTTTATGGATAGTAGTACAGTTGATTTGTTTCTTGACAAATTAGCTCCACCATTTGTCCCATCTATAGATAATATTTCTTCTGACCCACAGCCTCCTCTCCTCTCCTTTCATAGATTCATACATTTCCTTTAGCCTTTCAGAACTCAAAGGGGTTATTTCAAAACTTAGGGTCTCAGCCCCAGGTTGTGATGGAATCCCATATTCTTTTCTTCAAAACCTGAATGACTCCTGACTTTCTTATTTTCTTAGTTTAATTAATTCAATTTTAACATCAGGTAATATTACTCCATCATGGAAAATCCATGAAGTTATCCCAATACATAAGCCCGACTAACCGATTAATGATCCATCATCTTACAGACCAATTGCATTAGCTGCAGTTATTTCCAAAATTTCCGAACATTTAGTTAAAAATAGGCTAGAATGGTTTATTGAGAGTAAGGGGTTACTATCTCCAAACCAGTTGGGATTTAGGAAAGGTAGGAGTACGATGGATAGTCTCAGCATTTTTATGACAGACTTAAGATTGGCATTTTCGTACAATAAGTCTGTGTTAGCAGCATTCTTAGATGTATCTGCAGCCTATGATAATGTCAACCTTTCAATTCTGAAACAAAAAATTATTAATTTGGGTATCCCACAAATTTTTATAAGATTCACAATCAATCTTCTCTCTGGTAGAATGCTTAAAGTAATATCAGAAGACTCCTACCAATCCCGTATTGCCTGGAAAGGTATACCCCAGGGCTCAGTTTTAAGTCCCTTAATTTACAATATATATATATTCTCATGATCTGGAAGCCTCCCTTAAGGGTAAAGTTAGCACACTCCAATATGCAGATGATTTACTCCTCTATGTCTCTGGTGATTCTGTTGACAACATGTCTGATACTATGACATATTCCCTTAAGTTGCTAAAAGTTTGGCTTGACAATAACTGTCTAAGCCTTTCGGTTCCTAAAAGTAGTATAGTCTTATTTTCACGTATGAGGCTTCCTCCACCAGTGTCTGTATTTTATAATAACATTAGAGTTCCCGTTAAAAGTGAAGCAACATTTCTTGGGGTAATTTTAGACTCGAGACTTACAGGAATCCCTCATTGCTACTATATAAGTGCCAAATGTGAGAAGATACTAAGTATACTGCGCTGCCTCTCTGGAGTTTGGTGGAGAGCCCACCCTTTCTCTCTAAAGCTACTATATAATGCCATAATAAGGAGGATTTTAGACTATGGAACATTTATTTTTGAACCCTGTAATGCAGTAGCTCTCCATAAGTTAGACATTATCCAGTCTAAGGCTCTGAGAATAATTGCTGGGGCTATGCGTTCGAGCTCTATTAACGCTTTGCAGGTTGAATGTTCTGAAGCGCCCCTGCATCCCAGACGACAATTTCTTTGTGACAGGTTCCTGTTTAGAGCATTCCAAGTCTAAAATCATCCTCTTTACACTAAGTTACGGTCTCTGTTGGAATGTATGGACTATCCGTACTGGGCTCGTAAATCGCCGCCATGCGTTATTGTTAGTCTCCAAAAATTCTTAGCTCTTCAAGCTCCAACACATAGATCTCAATTCCTTCCTATATTTTGTGTTAACTATGATGCCTTAATTTTAAAACCATCTATTTTGTTTGATTTCGGTGTATGTAAACAAGATCCTTCTGCCAACGCCAAATTTATTGATATTGTTGACAGTGACAGCCGATGGAAACATTGCCATTTAATTTTTAGTGATTCTTCCAAACCCGGTTCCGAGGAGTGTGTGGGAGTTGGCGTGTTCCATCAACAGTTTGGCATTGTACAGAAAATAAAATTGCCTCCAGAGACTTCAATATTTACTGGAGAATGTTTTGGTCTGTTGAAGTCTCTGGAGTACATTTTAATCATGAAGTTAAAAACTCAATAATTTTTACCGATGCTAAAAGTGCCCTCCAAGCCTTGGAAAGATTTCCTTTTAGCAGTAACAGAATTAATCATCCAGTTATTATAGCACGTCGTGATTTATTGTATCAAAAATTACACAGTTTCTTTTGCTTGGATTCCGGGGCACTCAGGTATCTTTGACAATACCAAGGCCGATAGCCTTGCCAAAGCTGCAGTCAATGACGGAGATCTAGTTCTGTACAAAAACTTTTGTTGTGATTTGGCTCTCCTTCCTAAATCCCAGTTATTGAATTCTTGGACTCACATTTGGCGTTCTTCAAGTCAGACTATAGGTCGATATTATAGTACGATCCAGGTGGATATACCTCCTAAACCGTGGTTTTCAAATCTGACGTTTGGTAAAGCTATCACTTCGACCCTTATTCGTATGAGGCTGGGCATTTGCATTTGGCAAGGCTTAAACTTTTGCCTAGCGATATATGTGAGTGTGGCAATGACGTTGGGGATTTTAACCATATATTTTTTGCTTGTCCTCGACATGACCGTTCCGCTTTTATTTCCTCACTTTTGTCCATTAAAATTCCTTTTCCTACTTCAATTTCTGTCCTTTTATCTTATGTAAATATTGATGTATATAGAATTTTAGCCAGTTTCATTTTTCATAACAATATAAAATTATAATCATTTATGTACTTATATACTAAATTTACCTGATCCTTTTCCAAATTCCGTTTCAATTTCCAATTCAATAAAATAAATCTTACTTCCTAACCTTTTTGCATGGCTAACGCACCAACCGTGCAGGCCAAGAAAGGGGAAAAAACTTATTCTCCATATATTATATCCATTATAACTATAACTCCACATCCACTAAACGTATTAGTAAGCTGAAGTGGATGTGGAGGAAAGGTTCTCTAGTGGCATATCCGTACCGGTAGATAAAGTGTAGGGCCCTCCCCCCCTCCCCCCATTAGATGGAGTGACGACTTGGTAAGTCGATGGATGCAGGTGGCTAAGGACCGTGCTTTGTGGCATTCCTTGGGGAATGGAAGGCCTATGTTCAGTAGTGGACTTGTGAAGGGTTTGATGGAAGGGAATGATGATGATGATTATATTCATTACCTCCTTTTATCAGTGACCTATAGTTTTAATTATTATACTAGTTCACTTAACGCAAGAAGAACAGCCGTATGAAGTGTAGGGAGTAACGTGGTGTGTTTTTGCAGAAGGGTCGCTGGACATCGGGGAGACGCTGGTGGCGGAGGGCTGGGCGGAGGCCAGCGCGTCGCCGCGGCCCTCGCCGCCGCCCGCGCACGCGCCCGCCACGCCCTTCGGGGACCTCGGCAGCTCCAGGTCACCACCTCGCCAACACCACTAACATAACCCAACATTGACCGTCAGCCCCTAAACTATACAATGTTATATAAAGTAATCCGGGTACAGCCCTCGTACTTTCCACTTGAATAATATTTACAACATGCGATGATGCGACTCACCTGATGATAAATGTCGATCACCACCTATGAACAACGACAACACTTGAGAAATTGTGTTGCGGGAGTTTGAGTGGTCTTTAAAAAAAAAGCTACAAAATAAAATTAAAAAAAAAATGTTCATTTAAAAAACACGCGACAAATGAAATTCTTTGTTATAGATATCATTTTTTTTCTAAAAGTTGTCATATATATGTAAAACGTACAATCGTAGGAATGTATAGACACATGAAAATACAGTCATCCTTTCAAAAACAGTACAATCTGACGAGAGATCTCTAACTTAAAAATTTTATCATCCAAAAATCAGAACTATTAAAACTACTTCCAAATAAGAAATTAATAATAAACATCAAAGTTACTAACCATGTCGCAAAATAAATAACTGTTATTAGGTATTACAATAATATATAAAAATAATATTATTTATTCTACAACGATTAAAAATTACAATTAACCGAAATAATGTCGTCATTTATAGTCTTCTAAAAATATCTGAAATAATATTGGTTTGAATTTTGTCATTTAAATAAAATTTCTTGGCATTTTAGGGTACTAGGCATGTTCCCAAGCAACCGCTCCTCGTCCTTACCCAAGGATCACAAGGACGATCGCAGCGAAAAGGACACTACACCTGAACTCTTGAAAGGTAACATTGATTTATTAAATACATTGTAGAGCACAGGCTCACTTTAGAGGAGGAAAGGGTCTACAGTTGTTTCGGTAGATATGTGTTCGGAATATTGTAGTAAAATCTTTATTTCTTGCACAACAAATTCGCAACAAGATAAAAATACCATTGTCACGTAAAGAAGGTTAACTGCCTGACATGACAGGCAGAGGAGAAATCTAGAACGCCCCGTTCTTCACACTCTCTCTTTTTCCCTCACCCTCTCTTTCTCTCACTTGTTCGTGCGTCCTCTCTCTGACACAGAAGCGTCAGTATAGTGACGCACAGTATTTTATTGGACGTGACGTATACAAGCGTTCAATTAATCTTCGTTTCTTACGCGTTAGACTTAATTAAATAAAAAATGTGTTTTTTATTAAACATAATTTTTCTTTTCAAAGTAAACAGATAAATAGAAAATTCCTTATTTCTATTTGTACAAAGGCGAACTTAATGCCATGATGACGTTCTGTTAGCTAACCTTTGTTAGAGCAACAATTAAACAAAAAACTTTAAACTTTAAAAATTTAGTTTATTGGACAGATATTGTAATAACATAATTATAACTTTTAACAAAAAGTAAAAACTGACTTCAAATTGCCAAGAAAAAAGTTATTAATTTGCTACCCTTAGAGGTGCAATATTTTCTCTAAATTTATTTGGGACCACCCCTTGAATCATAAACTATTTAATAAAAAAACATCAAAATTGGTTCACAATCTGTGAAGATATCACGTAACATACATACAAAATACACTCGAATTGAAAATCTCCTTTTTGAAGTCGGTGAATAAAATATAATAATCTACTCACACACATTCATAAACATAAACACATAAAATCGAGTAGACTAGTTATAGAGAAAGAGTAGCTTTTTAATCAGGTCGGACCCGACAATACTAAGCCTTCATAAACACACATAGTTTTCAGCATCACCAAAGTTTTTTTATGTTCTGCTAGCTATTGTATATAGACCATTTTAAGAGTGTGCTAGCTCAGCTAGCTGGTAAATTTAATAGCGTGCCAAATGTGCCACACCGTTGTGGCTGCTTCATATCATCGGTCTGGATATTTTACTTGGCATAAACGAAATGGTATGTACATTCATCGGCGAAGACATGCATCCATTCTCTTATTCCGTCACAGCAAGAATTATTGATGCATTTTTTTTAGATTGGAAGCTTTTTTAGCCAAAACGCCCCAAGGTATATATAAAAAATTTATTACTGATCATGAAGTCCTGGGTCCGAATTCCGGGTCGGGTCAAAAAAATCAGTTATTGAGTTGGTCCTGCGCCTGATCTCTCTCTGGCCCTGTCGCTTTACCGTCCCATCGGACTATGAGAGTGAGAGAATTGAGAGTGCACCTGTGCTTGAGCATACACTAGGGCACTATAATCCTGTCCTACGCCGATGGCTAGTCTCCGCTGAGGATGGCCGTCGTGACCGAAATTCGGTCTTGAAAACATTATTGTGAAATATATATTACCGGTACACGCATTTTTTTCACAGATCTGACTCCAATATCACCTTCAAAATCACTATCGTCAGGGTTAGAATCTTCGGACAAACTGAAATCCGTATCCAACTTCGACCTCTCTTATTCCGAATTTGGGAAACCTTCTCAAGTAAACGGCTCACACGAAGACTTTCTACATAAAGAGAGGAATAATGTGGACAAAGAATATGACGGAGCTACCTCGACTCCTGGCACTCAGTCCTTGAAAACCAGAGACGAGTTCAAAGCCAATATGAATAGGATCGATTCTCATCATAGTAACCTGGAGTCGTTAGCTCGGTCGCAACACTAGTTATATTAATTGTGGTAGAGATAATATCGTATTAAATTTTTAAGTTTATGTCTTTATTGAAGACTTTGAAAGCAGGAAATATAAGAACTGTAAATATAAAACAAACTTTAAAAAATCTATAATTTTTATACTCTGTAATCACATGTAAAATACGTGCAAACAATTAAAATTAAAAATTATCATAATAATTGCGAATCTTTCACAGTCTTCAATGTAAATGTTTTGGAAATTATTGTTTAGTAACATTGGCATCTATAAGACCGCAGCTTTAACCTTCTAGAATAAGAACAAATGTGTTATGGTGTGACCGTAGAGAAATAAATCCATTTCTATATATTATTTTGACATAACCGTAGCTTTAATGTTTGTTTATTCGCTACAGTCAGATAAAACTTCCATTTTCTTTTCTGAACTTGTCAATTCGTAAAAAGCGTTTTTGTTTATGGCAACATCATATTCATGTCCCTAAGTTTATAGTTTATTGCGTCGTTACATTTGATGTTAGTCTGTGATTGTAAATAACTTTTTATTTTTTACCTAGGAGGCGTTAACATTGCCGCTTTGTAGATATTGTGAAACTGTTAATCAAATGTATGTTTATAGTTACAAAATGTAATCGGTTGGGTGCTTTGTTAAGTTAATGACCTAATTATTAAGTAGTAGTCACAAAGGAATATTTTTCTGCATAATATTAAGAAATGTAATTATTACTTTTATATATTTCTTTAGAAGTATGTCATTATACGTAAACAGTTTATATTAATATCGAGAAAATCCGATTCGACAATGCTGTTGATAATAATAATTTTGTGTTCGTATATTCCTTAGATATTATTCGTACATAAGCTTCTTAAACCATATGTATAAAGAAATACGTCCTCTGTTTAAATGGTGCTGAATCAGATAAACTATTTAACGTTTATTCTTAAATTTGCAGTTGAAGTATTTTTTATAAGGTACTTAAGAATTTCGCGATATGTTTCGTGTGTGATGTTGGCTTTATTTGTTATAACAACGCGATGCCATATTGAGCAGTACAAATATTTAATATGCGTTGTATGGGTTGTTTGAAATGGTTGTTTAGTTATCTATGTTATCTCCATGAGGTTAGTTACAACAACATTATTTTTTGTTGATATTTATTTGGTTATTTGGACACTGAATATCTTTAGAACATTCTAGGTGGCAGAACTTACTGCCTACTAGGTCGAAACGCAGTTGAGTATAATGTCATCCCCATTTTTCGACACCGTTTTCAAATGAAAATATTTATCATGTATACACGTTTTCTGTTCAAAAAGAAAAATTATTATTTCAATGTTGTTGCTTTTAAAACTTTTTTAAAGTTTATTTGAATAACAATATTAATTAATAATACAATCATTCGTGGAAACTGTTAAATCTCTAGGTGCTGTTATGTTTTTTGATCACGTGATCAAAGTACTGAGTGCACCTTACTTTGAAAGCGCCAGTGCTCACAGTACAAAATGGCGGCGATTTATGACGTCCTATATTTCAATAGGACACAGCGGCAGTATACTGGCAGTCCATAAGCTGCGTATCGATTACGCGCTCCTGACGCACGCGCCATGAATGACTGCGCCGAATTAATTTCTGTCAAGAAGTTATCAGTTGCAGCACAGAATAAATAATAGTACAAGAACAGAAGGATCACTCTCTGATAGCAAACTTGCGCGTTTAAACCTAGTTACAACGTCGCTAATGTTCATAATACTTTGCACGTTTTTTTCCTTTGCCTCGGAAGCGACCTTCGTGAAATTAGCTTACGTCGAAACAAAAATTAATACGGCGCGCGTATTAAATCAAAATGCACCTTACGTCCGCGTGCGAGTGTCTGTATCACTTAGCCCGTTACGCGCCTTTGTTAAGGCCACCCCTACTATTAGACTAGGAGATGTTGACAGAAAATATTCTCCCATTTTCTCCTGCATGCATTTTTAAGAATTGATAACTAACCAAGCGCGCTATAGGGCAAGGTGTTGTAATAAAATAAATTGAATCCTTTGATATTAGTTGGTATATAGTAGAATACACCGCGGTGTTATGCAACGTACGTTTATTTTGATAAAAAAAAATTAAACGCCACACTAGGATTTTCTCCTGTATCGTGGAGGCTATCGATTAATCCAGTATGGAGGAAGGGTATCTTCCTAATTAGTTATAATATAATATGTATTTGTTCCAAAGGTAACCAACTCGAATGTATAGATGTTAGTTTGAAACGTTGTAAATGATTTATAATTTATAACAGTGAGTTTTCAATGAAAATAAAAGAGTGCCTTTATCAAAAGTTTTATTTACTTTATCTGCCGTTTTCAGAGTTGTTCCGTTAGTGACCCGTGGGTGTCGTAAGAGGCGACAGCAGGAAACTAAAATAGAAGATGGGCAACAGCATATTTCTGATGATAACAACTTAAAATAATAGAAAAACTGCGGTTGCCAAGCGTGGGTTGAGGCAATGTATGGGAAAGGCCTATGTTCAGCAGTGAACTTTTATAGGCTGTAATGGATGGATGGATGGATTTAAAGTTGTTAGATAATACCCTTAACAATTTAAATAAATGAACATCACTTAGTAGAATTTACATTATAAAATATTCATGGAATGCATTAGAAGTAAATACAATATATTATATTATATTCTAAAATAAATAATGAATGCAAACCAACAGCAACATAGCCCAACACGATGCAGCATAGGCCGGTCCTCTAAAGTCTATTAAGCAGAGAAACCCCGAGCATAGCACACACTCGTTACAGGTGAAACCTTCAAATGAAATGAAATAAAAACATTTCACAGCAAATGATTTATTTAATTTGATAATTCTCAACCGCAAGTGCGGCATAAAATATAAGATAAAAGTTTAAATTTATAGCAAATAAATGTTATTAATCCTTATTTTTACACATGTAGAGTCTAAATTTTAGTGTATGTAAATGTTGATTTATCAAAAGAATATTTTCTTCTTATCTAATAGTGGCGTCTACTTCATTCTACAGGTAAAATAATTTTATAGAACAAAAACTGATCGATTCTCAAGGTGGTCCGTAAAATAGACACTAGATGGCCTAAACACGACTAATCTATACATATAATAAATCTGTAGAAAAGTCGTGTCCCGAATTCTAATATATTCTTGAAAAAGTAAGTCCAGGGGACTAAATAAAGGAACTATCATCAAATGGAAAAAGTAATATATTTTACCTAAAGTAGTTTAATTTTTTAGCATTTTTGTTATTTTATTTTAAAAGTGTAATAATTTCAATAGATAATAGTGACGTCTATCAAATATATGAAAATTGATAAGGTTTTTATTTCATTTACTAATCTATATGTTAACTAATTAAAACTGGTCTACCTGCAATTATTACAAAATTTTTTATTTTATATCATCATTATAGTTTTATTAAAGAGATTTTATATATGTCGTAGCCAGATCGTAAAATTGATCATATATCATAAAGTAGTCTATCATTTCGCGAAATGATGTGATCATTTCATGATATTTAACACTGTTTGTTGACCATGTCATGATATAGCTTGACCAAATCAATGAATAGAAATCGTTTGAAGATATTAGTAACTAAACACACGTTGCTATTTCATGATATGGCCATATGACGATATCATTAAATCGTGAAAATTCATCAAAGCACGGGAGCAAAACGTGTACGATTCCCTCAAGGATGAATCTGTTATAGAAAATTTTACGTGCTGACTTAACACGTTAAAAATAACTTTGCGGGGAAACCTAGATGTCTGAGTAATCAAAATAATTGTGAAGATGAAAACCGTTAATATGAATTGAAGCATTGCAGCATACTCTATTTTTCTGCCCACAAAACACTATAGGTAATGAGCAGCGCTGTGCACAGTAGTGCTACTTCATTTTTCTACCTTTAATGAGACTTACAAATCAGTTTATAATTTAAGATAGATTTTGTGACAGTCCGGGTTTCATAGCTCATATGAGTATATGTAAATGAACAGGTTTTTGCGAAAAATACTTTAATTAAAGAAAGCAGATTTCACTTAAAAAAAGGTTCATTTTATTTTACTTGTCAAAGGCGGTAATCAAACTGATTAAAACTTAAATTTCATGGTACGTAAGCATTATTATATATTTTAGCACATATTTTAATTGCAATTTGAAGTGTCGATTTACTACGTTCTCGGCGGTGAAGTAAAACCTATATCTAAAAAGTTTCCCAGTTCAATTCATCCCGCGTTGGAATCAACGCAGAGAACACTTTTTTGGCCAAAAACTCTCTGCGGACTGTGCACAGTAGTGATATGTATGTAAGCTACTACTTTTTTTTACTTTTCATTGGGCAATACCTAGTCAGGTCATAAGTATTGTCACACAGTAAAAACTTTTCTTTTAGAATGCTGGCCACAAAAAAGTTTATTGAATTCGAATTTCGAATTGTTCATGAAAATAAAACTGTATACTTTTTAGAATTTTACTCATTTTTAAATATGGAGTGGACGCTTAAAGAAGACCGTGTTGCAGTTATTGCGTTGCAATCGTTGCGGTTACGTGCCAATTCAAATTTTTGACATACTGAAAAATATGAATATAACCAAAAGATTCGTTTATCGTACCATCAAACGATACAATGAAGACTCTAGTGTAGATGACAGGTCAAGAAGTGGTCGCCCTCGGTCTGTTAGGACTCCAGCAGTGATAAAAGCTGTGAAGGCGCGAATTCAAAGAAATCCCAAACGTAAGCAGAAACTGTTGGCCCTTCAGATGGGGTTAAGCAGAACCACGGTGAAAAGGGTGTTAAATGAAGACTTAGGGCTTCGGGTATATCGAAGAAAAACAGGACATCGTTTGAATGCTCGTCTAATGGACCTGAGACTGAAGAGATGCCGCGGTTTGTTGAAGCGGTACGCGGGAAAAATAATATCGGGAAATTCTTTTTTCGGATGAAAAATTTTTTACCGTAGAAGAGAGCTACAACAAACAAAATGA